TATTTAAAAAATTATTTTTATAATTTTTAAATAGTTTTAGCAGCAGCTAATATCGACCTCTGTCCTCTTATCTGCCATTGTATATAATAGCATCGATTTAAATTTCACAACAATACAATAGAAAGAGAATTGAGCTCACTCATTGTTCCTTATATATATTAGTTTTTCTAGATTTAATTTGCTAAATATCTAGATTCGATTTTAAATTTGCTTGCCGCAAAATCACATAAGAAGTCTGTTTCGTAGTCAAACGCCCTTGACAAGAGCACTCACATCATGTATCAGTTGGTGTTAGGGCATTTGCATTACAATTCACGGAAAGTGGTGAAGAAATAAAGTTGTAAGAGCAAGTGAGTGAATGCTCAGCATGTTCTTGTATATTGCAATAAAGTCGCAGTTAACTGGAAACTTGAGCGGGTTGATTGTGTGGCCAAAATCAGAAGGAAAAAGCCGCGAATTGTAGGTTTAACCAATTATAGTTGTTTGAAGATTGTGTGAATACCTTAAAGTAATTCGCTGTGATAATTTCAAATTACAGTTAATATTTAATTGCGAGCAAAATTTATAATTTATTTATAAAATATTTTTATTTAATGAAATATACTTATTAAATATTTATTTATCTCAAGATAACTTTTCGGTTCACTCTGCTTAGTTAAAATGTCCTCAAGCAGCAATATAAAACTCTAATTCGAATCTATTCTATTCTATTCTAATTCCTTTATGAAATTCCCGTTTTAAAGTTTATTCCTTAACATTTAAATACTTCAATCAAGATTAACAAATTCTTATGTACATACAATAAACCAATCAATCTATCAATTCACTTTTCGATACTTCTTCTAAATACTCTCGAATGTCAAATCCTCAAAATCTTTGCCAAATATCCATTAGGCAATACTCATGTATTATTTTCCAAACATTCAATTTACGGCAATCAAATATCTAAACGACTTTTCAAAGGTAAACAAAAACATTTCAACATTCTTGCACATTTAATGAACACATTTTCCCAAGATCCCCGAGCAGTTGAAGAAGCAGAAGAATGTAACAAATAGATACAAATAGATGCACTGCTGTGGCCAGACACATAATGACACACAAAATGCATGGGAGATGGAGAGAGAGAACGCTTAAGTAAACTTGATGGAAATCCAAATGGGTGGGGGACCATCAACTTGACTTGTGGGTCAACTAACAAATCCCCAAACCAATTCAATAAAAGCTATAGACCAAAGCGTTAAGCTCGACAAACGGACGACCACTGCGGGAGGGCCTTAGGTCACAGGCAACGCAAAATAAAAAATAAAAAATCTGGAAAATTCAATTAATTTAAATGCAGTTTTTGTTAGGCTGCGTTGTGTCGTGCCATACTATGGGTATGATACACTCACTCACACACACACGCACACACATTCTCATAAACAGATTTTTCTTTCTGACAGTAGAATGGGGTAAAAAGCTAAGCGCATCACTTTACAATGTAAATCTCAAGCGTGCGATGCCCATCTCTTTTTTTTCTTCCTTCTTTTTTTATAGTATATATTTTTTTATACTCGAGTCTGCTTTGCATTTGCCTATTCGAGAGCTGTTTTGTAACGCGGCTGTCGAAAAATGTACCGAAAACAAGCAACGTTGCTGCAGTTGGGTGTTATCGACTGCAGAATACTCGTTCACGGCCCAAATGCTGCCATTTGTCACGCCCACAATTATTTATATTATATATATTTATTATATTACAGTCGACTCTCGTTATTTCTGAATCCAAAGGACTCTAAAAATATTTCGAGTTCTCGAGTGTTTCACCAAATCAGTACGAATTACCGCGTCTTAGCAATGATTTTTAGTTCGAATCACTGAGTGATAACTTTGAATTAATGAGAGGTTCGAAATGGCGCAGGTTTGTATATATATTGTATATATATTTATTATAGAGGATTAAATCTCTTGAGTTTCTAGCTTTACAACTGTAGAGAATACATTTTTACATGATTTGCCACGCCCCCATGGGCGTAAGTATATCCATATCTTATCGACTTCTGACTATCAAGCCAAGTATATTCCAAATTTTAACTCTCTAGCATTTAAACTATCATGGTTTCTAAAATACTGGAAAATGCATTTTCTGTTTTACTCCACCCTTAGTGGGTGGATCGGGAAAATCTACGCACTCTATAATTCGACTCAAGTCTCTAATTTTAATAGCGGGGAAATAGTTTGTATACTACACAAACCCAATATACTCATTTCACTTTCCTGAATGAGTATAATAAGTAAAATCAAGAGAAAACTGAGAACTTGGCCAAGAGGAAAAATAAAGTGTCAGAATTCAACAAAAAAAACTATCGTTAGACGGTTTTAAAGGAACTAAATGCAAAATATGTGAATTTTGTTTCATAAAAAATATATACATATATAACACATTCTTTCCAGCATTTTATTACAGCATATAACTAAACTTAAACATTCTATTACAAATTTAAATTGCAGCTTAAGTGCATCTGATCACACTCGTAAATTACAGCAGCCACACGCCCAAAGCCGTGGGGGAAAGCTGAAATCTTTGTTAATGATTTGCCCGGTTGACCAGAATCGCATTAGGTTTCGTTTGCTGCAGCTCACATATATTTTCCCACATATTTACTGACTGAGTTATTATCAGATTTCGAGCTCCCATAATGAGCAATTTTATTTACATTTATTTCTATTTTTTCCGCTGTCTCATTTATTTATTCAGTTTATTTTTTGTGCATTTCATATTTGTGGTTTTTGCATTTAGTGCTGGGGTCCGCGTGCTGGTCGACCGCATTCGCAATTGATTTTTAATGCATTTGGGGTTTGTTTCATAGCTGTAAATAGTTTTAATTGGGCATTTGTCAGAGTTGGTGGCTCAACTGTCTTCAATTTTAAATTAGTATTAGCATTTGGTTTACTTTGACACGCTAATTGGCTGTCGGAAAATGTTGACAAATATGGGAATGCATTTAAAACATTTATTTGCTATTTAAATTTGTAATTCGCTTGCAATGATAAATAGTAAAATTAGCTTATTTAAAACCAATATAATTGCCTTTGGTTCACGTATATTTAGACTGCCTTAATATTACGCATACGCCATGCTCGTCATATTACTTTATAGATTTTCTTTTACATTATGTTTTTCTTATCTTGTTTAAGAAAGCTATATATTTAATAATTTAATTACCGTAAATATTATATATATTTAATTTAAAGAAACTTTCTCAAACACATTACGCATACGCCACATTGCGTTCACAATTTGTTGTGCAATTCGCTTTGATTTCGATTTATTAATACATTACGAACTGCTTCCTTCACTGAGTTTTCCAATTAATTTTTCAATCAAGCACCACTGTCGCTTTTCAATCCACTGCTAATCACCTAAAAGTACACAGCAAATAAACAGATATATATTCAATATATATATCTACATTTTTTATTTGCACCGCCAGCGGCTAAAATACATCAGCCACAACAATCAGTATTGACAACAAACAAGCAAACAGATAACGGAATCCAAGTGGGAAACGAGTCCTTAATGCGCCGCCCGCTTAGTGAGAGAATTGGACACAGAAATACGTCGAGACGCGCCAAGCGCGCAACGCCAACTGAAACGACATTAAAACCCAAGCGTTGGCCAAGATTCAATTGTGCAGCTGAGGATATGCCGACAGCATAAAACACCAACACACTGGCACACTCACACTCACTCACACACAGACACACACACGCCGAGCTGCGGGCCAACACATTCACGGACATGCAAAAGGCGCAAAATCAGTGACGCCCTGCCACAGCGGGCTAAATCATGGCTGAAATCCATTAACACTGCAGCAACGGGAGTAGATGGCACTCGCCATGTCTCTGTGTGTGTGTGTGTGTCTGTATGGGTGGCTTCATTCATAAATGTGACTGGCTTTGCCTACTGTTTACGTTTCAGCTTCTGCGCATGCGCATCGCCAAACACGTGCGTTTTGTTATGACGCGCCAAATATTTGTTTCCACCTGTTGCGATTCTACGGAATGTGGAGCATGACCCCTCTGCCCCCCTCTTGCTGAGCAAGAGTTGGGCTGACAAGCCAATTATTCAATTTTTGTAGACAGCTCAAATTTTTGGGTATAATAGCTTAATTGTAAAATTGACAAGCACTGAATTTTTTGGGCAGCTATAAAAACCTGCCCGAACTGCGCTCCACCAGCCAGTGCAGTTCAAGATGGCCAATTTGGCATTATATAATTTGATTATACACAACTTGCTGCAAAGCAATTTGAACAGTGTACTCATGTTTCACTGTTGGCACCTGCCAGGTAAATGATTATATAAACGTTGATTAATTAATGGAAAAATGGGTGCTTGAGAAATATAAATAATGTATAAATAAATGAATGAGGAACTTAATAATTAAATACATTCTTACGAAACCATTATAATATAAATTANTAATAAAAAAAAAATAAATAAATAATGATAATAAAATGTAGATATATATATTGAATATATATCTGTTTATTTGCTGTGTACTTTTAGGTGATTAGCAGTAGATTGAAAAGCGAAAGTGGCGCTAGATTGAAAAAAAAAAAATAATAATAATCTCTTGCATTAAATAAATAATTCTATTCTCGATAAATTGAAATAAAATATTTTATGTTTATTATTATACAAACAGACTAATTTTCATAATAATTTATATGTATATTTAAAATTAATGAAAATTGATTGTTTTATAATAATAAATTAATTAATTCTAGAGAAATTTAAATAAAATACAGTGACGAGCAAAACTGTAACATTAATTCTATGTTGCAAATTCAAGGGTCTGTATTTTTGCTTCTACTCTATGGATGTTTAAGATCTTAATTTTATTTTGTTGGTATGATATTTAGCTGTCTTACCTGAAAATTTGAAATCATTCGGTTAGCTGGAATAATTATAAGAAATAAAAATGTAAAGAAAGTCAAATGTTACAGTTTTGCACCCGGGTCATTTTTCAACAAATATATTTATTAATAATTATCTAAAATTTAATGCATAGCTCTTTTGACGTTTTTTGGCCAATAATGCCATTTGCCATCATTTTTTTGTACCGTCGCACCATTTATGCAAGAATCGCACACCAAATGTCCTTGTTCCTTTCCCATAGCTCTATCATTTCACTTGGAGCCATCCATGATTCGCAGGCTGCGATTTCACATGACTCCACATATTTTCAATGATATTCATGTCTGAAGAATATTCAGGACACTTCAGGGACTTGAGTCCATGTCAAATTATCCAGTTTGGCCAAGTTATACGTGTTCTTTGAGTCATTGCTCTGCATTTTTCAGTAGTAAAATCCATATGTTCACTTAATTTTCCCAAATTCTTCTATAAAGTGATCAGGTATTGCTCATGAAACGTTATTCCATCGATAAAAACCAAGAGTCCAGCACAATCGTTGTTAATTCTCCTCTAAACCAAAAGAGAGCAGCCACCGCGCTTGACAGTTTGCCTTACTGTAATTATATATTATATTTATTATTATTTATATTTTCTACAGCTCTTTTACCATTGGGYCAATTATTCTCTCACAACTTGATATTTTCGCAATACGTAAATCTGAATCAGTCCAACGAGCACCTGGCTAACTTTAGTAAGACATATTTGGATAGTGAATTAAACAAATTGGGCGTGTTTCTAGACTTGAACTGTGAGCAGAGCAATTATATAACTAATCAGGTAAGTTAATATATGATTATATAAAATAAAAAA